GTACGCGTATGGATATTATCCTATCACTGACAGCATTGTACTTCAGGACAGATCTTGAAACATCCTTTGTGATGATGAATGCCACGCCATTCCTCTTCAAACTGTCATTCCCGGCAGAGTAGATCACATGGTTGTCTGATTCAAAATGGCCAAAACTAGTCCATTTCAGCTCACTAATGCCAAAGATATCAATCTTTATGCGTTCCATTTCATTTTTGACAACTTCCAATTTTCCTAGATTCATACTTTGTATATTCCATGTTCTGATGATTAATTAATGTTTGCAGCTGTTTCTCTTCAATTTGAGTGGTGCCACATCAGCAAATGGAGGTCTTGAAAGCTTTACCTTATACATAGGAGTAAGGGTGGGTTTACTCAGATGATACAGCTCTTTCCCAGTTCTATTTTGAGAGCCTTCTACCTAATGGGACTATTCATAAAGTTGCATGGTAATGTATCAAACAGTGTTTCTTTGCTATTCATAAGGTTTTCCCTGGCCAATTATTTGAGAATTGGATGGCCTCTTCCTTCTTCCTAGTCTGTCTCAGTCTATAAGCTGAGATGATACCTGTGCACCATGTGCATCCCGCTGGGTTTGAAACACCAGTGGCTCAGCCTCAAAACTCACATCAACACGTCACCACAGTAGGATAAACCAATAGACAAGTTTGTCTCCCTTTGGAAATCTCTCATACCACCCTTACCTGGGTCCCTGTGGCATACATCAAATTTCCATTCTCCAGAAAACAAAAAAAAAAGAAAGAAATCCACTGATTTCAAGTTGATTCCAACTCACAGAGACCCTAAAGGGACAGAGTGGAGCTGCTCCATGGGGTTTCCAAGGCTGTAAATCTTATAGAAGCAGAATGCAACATCTTTCTTCCATGGAGCAGTTGGTGGGTTCAAACCTCTGACCTTTTTGGTTATAAGCCAAGTGCTGTAACCACTGTGCCAACAGGGCTCCTCACCCCATTCTAATACAGATCAAATTACCTATATAAAAAGTACCATACTAAAAATAAATGAAAAATTTGAGTAATTGTATTATACTATATCCTTCTTAAGGATAAGGCCTGTATCTCAAACATCCTTGTTATTTCCCACTGTGTGCAGTACTATTTTTTAAGTGGTTTTTCAGTACATCAAATTTTGGAAGAGGCCAAGAATCCAGACAGTACCTTAAAGTTAGTTATAACGAGATTTTTTTCTATAGCACTTCCTCAAATAAGATTTGTGATTCTTTTATGACAGGAGAATAGCATTGAAGAAAGAATGATAAAATACATTTAGGAAGCAGGATAGGAAGAAAACCTTAAGCATGCATATTCTTCAACAGTTAGTCTGGAATAAGGAGGTAACTGCAATTTCCCTTCTACTTGGTGAACGTATCTCAACCAGTGAGGTATCTTCCTTGCATTTCTAAAGGAAAAGCCACAATGGATCTTAAACAGCAGAGATGTGTCTGGAAGTCAAGGGCAGCATAGTTCTTGACCCTGAAAGCTACAGAGTACTCAGCAATAAGGCTGTGAGTATATGAAATCCTCTCTTACCTCACTGTAGGAGGAGTGAAAAGAAAAACAAGCTCTGTAGGAACTCTCTCCAGTCCTAAAGGAAAGTGAAAACACAAAATTAAAAGGTCACATATCAGGACTAAGTTAAACTAAATTACATTTCTGGAAAGAACAGCTAACACATTAACCATGTGCACCACTCACAGCCCCCCAATAAGACCAAGTTCTTAATTTTGAGGCTTCCCTTTTGGGCTATTTCAGTATAAAACCATTCCACAATCAAGAATTTCTCCCTGGGATTGGAGTGAACACTTCCCAGAAATGTAACTCTGTTGAGAATAAAAAACATACAAGCCCCTAGTCAAGCATAAAAACAGAATTATGTGTTTCCTCTTTTAAAAAAAAAAGGAGGCGAACATCATTTATTCTCTGTAAAATGCTTTGATACACAGATTTGTCAGGCTATGGGAAAAGTCTCAAAGAAATACATTTTAGCTTGCATTCCACTTACAGATCACCAGCTCCTTCTTCCTAGTCCAGTTATGCTCAGCAAGCCTCCACTGAAGGGAAGGTGATGGTTGTACATGAGGTGCACTGGCCAGAATCAAACCCAGGGCTTCCTCATGGAAGGCAAGAATTCTATCACTGAACCAACGCTGCCCCCTACCAACTATTCCTTAACTCATGACACAGAAGAGGAAAGGTGACCTTCCTAGTAGTAATGAAAGTTGTTGATTTTTCCTTTTTATAAACTACCTATTAAGGACCCTCACATGTCTGAGTTATGTTCCAGGTTTATGAGCCACAGATTAGTAATTACAAAAAATATAAAACAATGCCTATTGTGGAAATGAAAGCTCATTCAAAATAGTATCATTTGCTAAAAAATCAGTGATACAAATTAAGTTTCTTTCTGTAGGGGTACCCCCCCCAAAGTCTGGTAGCATACTGCCTAAGGTATTTGACTGCCAAGCAGAAGGCTGGCAGTTCCAACCCACTAGCCACTCCTTAGAAGGATGACTGTGAATCTATTTCTGAAGAGATATCGCCTCAGAAACCCAAGAAGGAGTCACTATGAACTGACTCGACAGAAGTGAGTGAGTGAGAGTAATAAGAAAATAGTTATAATTAAGATAAAGCTTCTCTGACCCTTTCCTACTGCAGCAAAGTTTTAAAACAGAGATTTCTGAACTTTTTTCTGAAACTTAAAACACCATGTACAGGTTTTTGTTTTGGTGATTATTACTATCCTAATTGTTAGCTTAGGAGCTCTGGTAGGGTACTGCCTAAGGCACTTGACTGCTAACCAGAAGGCTGGCGGTTCAAACCCACCAGCCACTCCTCAGAAGGAAGATGGGGTAATCTACTTCCATAGTGATACTGCCTCAGAAACCCAAGGAGGGGTCTCAATGAGTCGGGTCCGACTCAACGGCACATAACAACAACAATCATTAGTTTATTCTTTCCTCTATGGAGTTGAAATTCAATCTGATTGGTTTCCTTGGATAAATAAGCAAAAATAAGTGAAATCATTTGCATTAAGCAATTATATTACCTTCATCATGCTTTCATTCAAGTAATATTACTACTACGCTCTTAACCGTTCCTCATTGCTGTGACTGTCTCTCTCTGAGCACTTTAACTCCTTTGGATCTCACTTTAAAAGGAGCCCTTGTGGTGCAGTGGTTAAGTGCTCAGCTGCGAACCAAAAGGTCAGAGGTTTAAACCCATCAGCCACTCTGTGGGAGAAAGATGAAGCAGTCTGCTTCCATAAAGATTACAGCCTTGAAAAACCTATGGGGCAATTTTACTCTGTCCTATAGGGTCACTGGGAGCTCTGGCAGCATAGTGCCTAAGGCACTTGACTGCTAACCAGAAGGCTGGCGTTCAAATCCACCAGCCACTCCTTGGAAGGAAGGTTGAACAATCTACTTCCATAATGATACTGCCTCGGAAATCCAAGGAGGGTTGAGTCGGGTCCAACTCAATGGCACATAACAACAACAGAGGGTCACTAGGAGTTGCTATCATCTTGATAGCAACAGTTTTGTTTTAACATATTAACTGTCTTCTTCCTTATCTGAGTCCTAATACAGTTATTCTTTCAGTTAGGGCCTCTGCTTTCTTCAGTTCTTTAGCTATGCTTTCCTTTGACAGTCAGCAAAGGCTTGTCTGGAAGAAGTGATATCTAAATTAATCAAAAAAGGTGATACATTAACAGAACAAAAAGAATAATGGGATGTTTGCTGGAATTATCAGTACTTCTGATTTAGTGTTAAGAGTCCAATTATACCCTCCTCTAAGCTCTTATAACCAGAAGGCTGGCGGTTCAAACCCACCAGCTACTCCTCGGAAGGAAGATGGAGCAATCTACTTCCGTAGTGATACTTCCTTGGAAACCCAAGGAGGGGTTGCTATGAGTTAGGTCCTACTTGACGGCACATAACAACAACAACAAGAAGCTCTTATAACAATTATAATTACCTAATTTGTCAGTTACTAATTTATGACCTAGCATCATGTCTTCTACTCACAGCCTACAGTTGTCTAAACCTTTAAAAACATTTCTTGGGACTTAACTTTTTCATCTTATGTATTTCTTCCCTATCTAAATGACCAGTTCCTTTAGGATACAGGCCAGATCCCCAGTTTCCTGGAAAGTGGAAGAGGTATGAGAGATCATTTAGTCCTGCTTAAAATCAAAGCATAAACCAAAAACCAAACTCACTGCCGCCGTCAAGTCGGATTCAACTCATAGCAACCCCTGCTTGGGTTTCCGAGGCAGTATCACTATGGAAGTAGATTGCCCAGCCTTCCTTCCAAGGAGTGGCTGGTGGGTTTGAACCACCAGCCTTCTGGTTAGCAGTCAAATGTCTTAGGCATTATACCACCAGAGCTTCCCATAGGAAAGTAAAAATTCTTTGTCCAAGACTAACCAAACCAAAACTAAACCCACTGCCATCAAGTCGATGCTGACTCATAACAACTCTAAAAGACAGAGTAGGACTGCTCTGTAGGGTTCCCAAAGTGGCAAATCTTTATGGAAGTAGAATGCCACATCTTTCTCCCAGAGCAGCTGGTAGGTTTGAACCACTGACCTTTTGGTTAGCAGTTGAATGGTTTAACCACTATGCCACCAGAGCTCTTTTGTCCAAGACTATGAGCTAATTTTTAGAGAAGTAAGAGATCCTAATTCCTGTTCTAATAGGAGCCAAACCAGTGAAACTTAACCTTGTTTTGGGGAGGCCAATTTATCCCTTTAAATTACATTTCTACTTCCCAGAACTTACCTCCTCCCTAAACATAAGAAGCACTGCTCAGTTACATCACTGACACAAGTGTGATTGATTAAAAAAAAAAAAAAAAAAAGTCTGAGGGCACTAATCTATTAGTGAAACAAGTACATTGTTTCTAGAAAATTAATTAAGTGCTATAATCTTTCACAGGGGCGAGCTTCTAAGTTGTTCTCAATACAAATCTCCCAAAGGACACCAATTCCTAGTTCCATGAGCTATCAGGCATAGATAATCACTGTCAAACTAAGGCAATACCCAAGTGCATTCAGGTCCTGATTCACAGTTTTTAGTGTGTGATGGAACCCAGTGATTCATGAAATACTTGAAGATCCAGTAAAAGGGAAGTTTACGCGTAATAAATGTGTATTTTTTACCTACTTCTCCAATACCGAGTCATGGGAAAGTTTTCCAGGCATTCCACCTCCTTCAGTCCCAAATCCAATCCCCAAAGTGGCCCAGTCACTTATTTTCACATCTTAAAAGTTGCTTACTTAAAACAAATTACCTCCTATGGACTTTTGCCCTATATGGCACTATCAAGGACACAAAGGATTGGGATTGATTGTGATGAGCTCCCTACTGATGCCCTGTGCTCAGTATGCACCCTAACTTTACCAGTGGTAGTTAAGGTTCTGTGTCAGTTTGGCTGGGCCGTGGTTTTGAGTGGCTAGGTAGCTGGATGTAGTTATTCCCCATGATGAGATTATAATCACCTCTATGGTAGAATCTGCTGTGAGCAGCCAAGTTGTTGCCTACAGGGTACTGCCTGCTTCCAGTATACAAGGAGAAGCTTTGGGAAAGGTCTCTAGGTTTTGGTATACCTGGATCCTGCCTTTGGCTGAGTCTTGGCCTGCCACGTCACCTACTGTTCTTGGGACTATTCCTGGACTTGAACCAGTGGTCTAACATGTTGCCTATTGATCTTGGGTTCCTCAGTCTCAAAAGGCAGCAGCTGAGTGAGTCAGAAAAAGCCTCAAGCTCCAGTGGGCACAGAACAAGAGACGAGACAGAGCTGAAGTGCAAGGGCAAAGGGCCTTCACCCAGCCTCCTAGAGGTGGCACTCTGATTTTGTACTAATGGCCTCCTAAACTATAAGAGAACAAATTTCTGTTTGTTAAAGCCATTCACTGTGGTATTCCTGTTATAGCAAAAAAACAAAAACCAAACTCACTGCCATCCACTTGATTCGACTCAACTCATAGCAATCCCTCCTTGAGTTTCTGAGGTGGTATCTCTACAGAAGCAGTTTGCCCAATCTTCCTTCCAAGAAGTGGCCTTCTGGTTAGCAGTCAAATGCCTGAGGCACTATGCCACCAGAGCTCCTTCTGTTACAGCAGCACCAGAGAAATAAGACATTAGACCTAACACATTATACCTTCTGCTTCACCTGTGGCCAGCTCTCTGCATACTAGTATATCACAAGCCCTCATTTGCATTAGAATCCAGCCCATTTGTTGGGTCAGCACTCAAACCTACCTCCAAAAAAAAGCATGAGCAGTCACTCTGGTTTTTCATCCTGAAAGCCAGAGAGTTCTATTTGGTATAAGATCATCAAAGATTCAAAATAACCCCCACACTTCCCTTCCAAAAGAAACCAAACCCACTCCTACCATGCCCTTTCCAATTCAGAGCAACCGTTTGGGCAGGGCAGAATTGTCCATAAGGTTTCCAAGCTGTAGTCAGTACAGAAGCAGACTGACACAGCTTGCTCCCACAGAGCAGCTGCTGAGTTCAAACCACTGCCCTTTCAGTTAGCAGCTGAATGCATTAACCACTTGCAGTGTAGTAAATTACTTAG